AGGAAGGGGAAAGAAAAGTGAGAGAGAGAAGGAAAAGGAAAGTGAGAGAGGAGATGAAAGAGGAGAGAAAGTGAGAGAGAGATGGAAGTGAGGAGAAAGTGAGAGAAAGATGGAAGGAGAAAAGTGAGAGAGATAGAAAAGAAGTGAGAGAAGAGAAGATGAAAGGAGAGAAAGTGAGAGAGAGATTGAAAGGAGAAAAATGAGAGAGAGACGGAGGGGCGAGAAGTGAGAGAGAGAGGCATGGAAGGAGGGAGAAAGTGCAGAGAGACAGATGGAAAGGAAAGGAAAGATGAGAGAGAGATGGAAGGGAGAAAGTGAGAGAGAGATGGAAGGAGAGAAAGTGAGAGAGAGATGGAAGGGAAGAAAGGTGAGAGGATGATGGAAAGAGTGAGAAAAGTGAGGAGAGATTGAGGGGAGAAAGTGAGAGAGAGAGACTGGAAAAGTAAGCTGATAGAGAGGAATTGGTAAGGGGAGAAAGTGATGAGAAAGATGGAGGAGAAAAGTAGAGAGAGAGATGGAAGATGAAGAAAGTGAGAGAGAGACGGAAGAAAAAAATTGAGAGAGAGAATTAGAAAAGAAAGTGAGAGAGAGGAACGGAAGGAGAAGAAGTTGAGAGAGAGATTAGAAAAGAAAAGTGAGGGGAGATTATGGTGAAGGGAGAAAGTAGAGAGACGACGGAAGGAGAGACAGTGAGAAGAGAGGATGGAAGGGAGAAGTAGAGGAGAGACGGAAGGAGAGAACAGTAGAGAGAGATGGAGGAGAAAGTGAGAGAGAGATGGAAGGGAGAAGTGAGGAGAGAGACGGAAGGAGAGAAAGTGAGAGAGAGACGGAAAGGGCGAGAAAGTAGAGAGAGAGATGGAAGGGAAGAAAGTGAGAGAGAGATAGAAGGAGAGAAAGTGAGAGAGGAGATGGAAGAGAGAAGTGAGAGAGAGACGGAGGAGAGGAAGAAAGTGAGTCGAGAGTGGAGGAGAGAAAGTTGAGGAGAGAGACGGCAAGGGAGAAAGTGACGAGAGAGACTGGAAGGAGAGGAAAGTGAGAGAGAGACGGAACAAGGAGAGAAAGTGAGAGATGAGATGGAAGGAGAGGAAAGTGAGAGAGGACGGAAGGGGAAAAGTGGAGAGAGAGACGGAAGGATGAGAAAAGTGGAGAGAGACGGAAGGAGAAGAATGACGAGAGAGACGGAAGGGGAGAAAGTGAAGAGAGATGGAAGGGAGAGGAAGTGAGAGAGAGAAGGAAGGAGGGAAAGTGAAAGAAAGGTGGCGGAGATAAAGTGTGTGTGTGTGGCGTATACGCAGACAAACACACACACACTTTATCTCCTCAGTTCCGCTCTCCTACAAACACAAACACACTTCACACACACACACTTCACTACACCTACACGCACATAAACACACACATGCAAGCTCTCGCATAATTTCATGATCATCAACATATCTATTGGCTTCATAATCATCATATCAATAACGCCCTATCATCATCAATTATGATTAATCTTCTCAATTTCCTTTACTATTATCAACTCAGCATTCGTTCCGAGCGAGAGTCCCGACCCAGCGCCAGACGAGCGAAGGGCGAGAGCGAAGGACGAGAGCGAAGGGCGAGAGCGAAGGCGAGAGCGAAGAGAGCGAAGGGCGAGAGCGAAGGGCGAGAGAGCGAAGGGCGAGAGAGCGAAGGGCGAGAGCGAAGGAGGGCGAGAGCGAAGCGAGAGGGAGGGGAGAGCGAAGGGGGAAAGCGAAGGGGGAAAGCGAAGGGGAGAGACAAGGGGGAGAGCGAAAGGGGGAGAGCGAAGGGGAGAGCGAAGGGGGAGAGCGAAGGGCGAGAGCGAAGGGGGAGAGCGAAGGGGGAGAGCGAAGGGCGAGAGCGAAGGGGGAGAGCGAAGGGGGAGAGCGAAGGGGGAGAGCGAAGGGGGAGAGCGAGGGGGGAGCGAAGGGAGAGCGAAGGGGGAGAAGCGAAGGGAAGAGCGAAGGGGGAGAGGCGAAGGGGAGAGCGAAGGGGGAGAGCGAGGGGGAGAGCGAGAAGGGGAGAGCGAAAGGCGAAGCGAAGGGGAGAGCGAAGGGGAGAGCGAAGGGCGAGAGCGAAGGGGGAGAGCGAAGGGCCGAAGAGCGAAAGGGGGAGAGCCGAAGGGGGGAAGCGAAGGGCGAGAGCGAAGGGGGAGAGCGAAGGGGGGCGAAGGAGGGAGAGCGAAGGGCGAGAGCGAAGCGCGAGAGCGAAGGGCGAGCGAAGAGCGAAGGGCGAGAGCGAAGGGGAAGCGAAGGGGGGAGAGCGAAGGGAGAGGAAGGGGGAGAGCGAAGGGGAAAGGCGAAGGGGGAGAAGCGAAGGGGCGAGAGCGAAGGGCGAGAGAGCGAGGGCGAGAGCGAAAGCGAAAGCGGAGAGGGGGAGACGAAGGGCGAGAGCGAAGGGGGAGAACGAAGGGCGAGAGCGAAGGCGAGATCGAAAGGGCGAGAAGCGAAGGGCGGAGCAGCGAGAGCGAAGGGAGAGAGCGAAGGGCGAAGCGAGC